GGTGCAAATTTATTGGATGTAAGTTTAATATGATTTTATGTATAAATTTGATTCACTATTTTTTTACCCCTAATTTTAAAGTATACCAAACTAATCATTCTGGAATCACAAAATAGGTCTCATAGACTCAAGAAGTTAACAACACAAGCCAACCTTGATTTGAAATACTAATCATAGATAATAGGCCTCATTGATTAGATTGTTTAAATCATACTCAAACTCTCCAATCTCCAAGGAAACCATGTTATAAATAAAGAGTTAAACCCCACATGTACACATTTCTGAAATCCTAGTTTTCATTGTCACTATGCATATACCATACCCTTTGGCTTTTAGCCTATTTTTTTGTACCCAATATTTTACCACCCTTCCTGGCTATCTCCACAATAAATATCCCCAATTATTAGATTCTACATCAAATATGATCCTTCTTGGATTGAACATTAACTATAAATTTAAATATTTACATGTGTTAAAAAAAATACAAACATCCAACATGACCATCACCCAAAACAACATACCTAATGCTACAAAACTCTAGCACAAGAGATGTACATGCACTTTACTCCAATCCCAATTTCAAATCCCCCTGCATTAGAAAGAAAAAAAATTAAAAATAAGGTGATATCTGTTAGTTTGGTGAGCTTAGGTTTGTATCTTTGAAGGGTGAAATATATCGTTATGGCGATGCTCTTAGAGGTAGTGATATGGACCAAAACTCTTGAGGGAGTTACCATGTACATGTCAAAGATGGCCGAGAGAGGAAGAATATGTAATGGGCACAGTGACTCTATATTTTGGCATAAAAACAACTCATAAATGCAATGTATGCAAAATGCCCCTTCAATGGATGAAGGAGTTACGTAAAGGTGAGAAAATATTTCGTAGTGAGAAAATATTTCTTAATGAGAAAATATTTATATAAGTTGAGGCGTAGAATCAATGGCATTACGCACGAGTACGACTAATCATGCAAGTGAGTTATGCTTAAAGGTCTGCCTTACCAATTCACATGACAAATAATAATAATAATAATAATAAGGGTCTTTGATCAAAGGGGGATCTTTGACATTTTAATGTACCAATTTGGTATCCGATTTTCAGTATTTATCAATGGAGTCTTTTAGTGTCGTGACCCCCCATGGGGAACTCACTTCTTTTTTTCAGGTGAGTGTTGCGACCCCATGGGAAACTCACACGGATATGCCAAGTGGCATAATCCCAGCCTTTCACTCATTCCTCGTTCCCCGTTGATTAAAATACTAAACATTACTCATTTGGAATGTCATAACTTTTGACTTGGATATCCAAATCAGATAATTTTTTTATTTCACATAACTTTTTGAGATTTATGCAATAATACCTCATTTGGCATATTTTATCTCCCACAAACATAGTTCAAATTTGTAACAATGGTACCACAATTACAACAACATTTAAATCCAAAAGCTCCCGAGTTTCCTCCTTTGGGAACTCACATTGTTGTGCCAAGTGGCATAATCCCAGCATGAGCAACATATTATCGTCTATCCTTGTTATGTTTCTTCTTTCCCTACTGCTAGGGTTCTCCATTTTTCTCCCACTTTTTCTTCGTTTTCTTTTCTTCACAAAAATAATTTTTGAATTAATTATTGTCTCACACAAGTGTTGCTGCAACTCTAACAGACAGAAATTCAATTAATTAAAATCTTAACAAAACTGATTTGAAAACTAGGCCATCAACGAGAACAGGCAGCAACAGATAACAACGTTTCTTCTTACGAAAAACCCTAAAGTACTGATCTTGTTGCTGAAAAAATCGTTGGCTTAGAGGCAAACCGTGGAAAAACTAGGCCAAGAGATCGATGACACGTCTTGCAGCTCATAGTGTTGGTTCAAAAAGAACTTAGGAGCTTCTGGGGTTAAATGTTCTTGTGATTGTGAAATATGTCAAAAGTGGTGTCATTGTGTAAATCTTGAAAAATTATGTGAAATACAATTTTTTTTGTCTGATTTGGATACTCGAGTCGAAAGTTATGGCCTTCCAAATGAGTAGTGTTTATTATTTTAATGAACGGGGAATGAGTGAAAGACTGAGATTATGCCACTTGACACACCCGTGTGAGTTTCCTAGAGAGGGTCGCGACATTCACCTGGAAAAAAAAAGTGAGTTTCCTAGGGGAGGTCGTGGCACTAAGGGGCTATTGATATGAAGATTTTTTTAGAAATACTGGGAAAGTGGGATGGGGCAAAAAAAATTTCAACGTTTGGTATGATATTTTTTTTTTCCATCGTTTCAATTTTTTTTTTTTTACAGAATCCCAAACGAAAATACCATCTAATAGATGCTATTTTTATTTTTCCATGTATTAACATAATTAACCCAACATTCTCGGAAAAATTTTAAATCTACCAAATAACTTTTCGTAACTTATCCCAGAAAACAAATTTCCCACCATATTTTTGAAAACATTTTTTTTTTCAATAAAAACAAAAATATATCCTCTGCTAAACGTTCCCCGAAAGACTTTAAATGATAATATATCACAATTAAATATCAAATTGATATATTTAAATGTCAATGAGCCTTATCTGATTAAAGAGCCATAATAATAACCCCACTGATAACGTGAACGGGACTTGATTGTGAAAAGAAAAAAAAATTACTTTTATTGGAAATACTTTTGCAAGAGGTGGCAAACTTGTTTTTTTTTTTGGGAAATGTTTTTGTTATATAACATAATATAAAAACAAACTTTCTACTCTCACAAAAGGAAGATAGAGGAGAGAGAATAGGAAAAAGAAAAAGAAATTAAAGTGGATCCTATATAAAATTTATGTGTGTAGGAAGATGATTTTATGTTATGTAACATAATAAAAATAAAGTTTTTTTTTACCCCAAAAATGTACTAAGAAAAATGACAAGTTGTCATCCTTGGAAGAAATAATTGCATTTTGTTTGGTATAAAAAGATTACCAACATTTAAGAACCGTGAACATGCGCAGAGGTCCCCAGCAGAATAAAAGCGATGGGTACTTTTCATTTTTTATTTTTATTTTTATTTTTGTTGATTCCCCTTGTTGGTAAAAATCGTACGATGCATGTGCTGGCACTATTATCTCCCACTTTAATTAGATTTGATTATTATGGCCTTTCTTTCAAAATGAACCAAAGTTAAGATGCTACTCAGGCACGAATCTTCCCACATTATGTGATAAGACGAGAGGGAAAAACAAGCTTGATGGCGATGTTGAATGTGATTGTATCGTATTAGATATATCAATGGGATAAGAATTAAGGTTGCGTTTGGTTGAAGATAAATTTTAAGAATACTAAAGAAATATAATTATTATGTATTCATAGGGAAAGTTGAATAGATGGAGAAGTTAAAAAAAAGTAGTTTGGTTTGACAAAATATTATCAGGGAAATATATGACAAAAAGTGTGTCAACAGTACTTTACCCGGGTTTTCTCAAAAAACCACCTTCAAATCGGGTTTCTAAACAGTGCAAATTATTATCTTTCTCAAAAAGTCATGCATTTCACATAGATGAGTTTTGATCAAAAGCTGTTGAACCAAACATTAATTTTCTAAAAATCAAACTTAATTTACCTAGAAAGATCTCAAAAAGCATAAAACCAAACGCTCCCTAAAAAGTTTATCAATTACTGTTGATTCAAGTGGTAAAAATTTTGTTCCTTTTAATTAGAATTTTTGAATTGAAATTCTGAAAATGGAAAAAATAATATTGAGATTTGAGAGAATAGTTTTAGGGAATTACTTTTCTCATGTTACATAAACAAAATATTATCTCCTACATTCACATTTCTCAAATGGGTCCCACAAATTTTTTTTCTCTCACCTTTAACTTTTTTCTCTCTCCTACTTTTTGTTTGAGCATGAGATAGTACTTCTCTTATACAACATAAGAGAAGTATTACCCATAGTTTTAATATGAGTCCGGAAAATGCTCCGATTCGAATATTAAGAAAAGGATTTAATTTTTCTCTCTATCGGTCAAGTCTTTGTAAGCCAATAATCATACAAGGCATATATTTTTAAAATAATATTTTTAGAAACCAGAAAAATCATATTATCTGTATCTAATATTTAACAACTATTAGTTCAAGTAATAAATAAAATGACAGATAAAATGATATTGGGACAGAGATGTTCAGCTCAATGGACTGGTATGTTTATCTTGGATCTAGTATCCTCTCTAAAGATATCTATGAAAGAGATACTTTTGAATCAAGCAGATCACTGTGCACAATGAACTAATAACAGCGTTAGCCAATTGGGTGTGTGCGAACAGTGACAGCAAAACAGTAAGAGAGAGCATAACATACCTTTAGGGTTTACCTTGTATATAGAGGTTATATGTAGGTAGTATGATGTGGGCCTTTGGTGTCTCTGATAAGGATTCCAAGCTTGTTCGCTATGCTGTCGTATTAGGATCAGTATCTTTAATAGATAATATCCGTAATTATAATTGATTCAGATCTTGAACTGCGCGTTATTGAACCTGTCGTTCAATGAGCTACATGTACGCGTCCATAACCGAAAGTATTTTCATATGGATGTCTTTCTTTTCCTCTCTCGGTTGAAATGTGTCGTCGCCTCACTTTATCATCAAAGAAAAGAAGACTGGTAGTTGATATTGATAAGCAAAGAATGACCCCCAATAAATTACAGATTCAATCTTTCAATTAAAAAATGGTTGAACCTAGAACCTCAATGTCTCAAAAAAATGCAACTAATTTACCCTTTTTCACCCCTACATTCAGGAAGTGGGAATAAAGAAAATAAGGACCCCACCCAATGAAAATGGCAAGCCTATCCATTTGAATAGTAAGCTGAGTCAGCACTGAACATCATCAAATGAAATGGATAAACAACATCTCACAACATGGACAGCTACAAACCTCATCCACATTTTGCCATTCACACAATTAACCCAATTTTACAACAACTTGGGTACACACTGCTTCTCTTCTGTTCTATATAAAGACAGTCACACCAGTCTCTTGCACCCCAAGCCTTATCCACTTTCAATTTCCCTACCCAAAAAGTACCATATGTTTTCTGTCTCCTTAATCAACCCCTTATTCTTATCCAGTAATATCAAATCCTCCAATAGTAGAAAAAGTTCCTATCTTTCAAGAAAAATTGTTGCCATTCATACCACAGTTGAAAACAGAGGACCCTGTTCTTGTGCAACAAAGATGAGTTCCCTCTATGAGGTGCTTGGAATTTCAATGGGTGCAAGCTGCATCGAAATTAAGTCTGCTTATAGAAAGCTGGCAAGAACATGTCACCCTGATGTTGTAGCAATGAATCAGAAGGAAAGCTCAAGTAACCAGTTTATGATGATCCATTTAGCATACTCAACTTTGTCTGACCCAGATAAGCGTGCTCGATATGATAGAGAAATCTATGAACACAGAAGACCAGCTACTGTAACTTCCATGTCAGGAAGATATCGGACATATTCCCATGCCGGAAGGAAATGGGAAACGGATCAATGTTGGTAGTTGATCGTGTAAAATATTAACCATGTTCTTTTCTTTTCTGTTCCTTTTTTTTGTATAATATAGCCATATTATTTTCCCTCTTATGGAGATGGAACTTCATGAAGCTCCTTTTGGCTCTAAATATGTGACCTGATTTCATTACTAACAACTACTTCCTCACCTTCCATAACAAAATATTAAATTAATAGTCACATCTTACTCAAATTATTCATCTTCGCTGATACTAAAAAGAGAAAAAGTAATATACAAAAAAAAAAAAAAGTAGAGACAAATTTTTTTTTTTTATTAAAATTCATTTGACAATTATAAGTGTAACGAGTAATTTTATAAATTTAGAAATATATAAATTCATGTGGAGTGATGGTTTGTAGGGGTGTAAATGGGTCAATCAGCTTAAGAGCCCTACGACTCGATCTATTACAAATAGTCAAATAGAATAAACTCGAACCTCTTAAAAGACTATTCAAAAAGCATGTCATAGTTTTTTTTTTGACGGGCTTATAAGTTCACAAATCAGCCTATATTATTTTAATGATTTGAATAATAAAATAATATTATTTTATTTTTTTTTATTATTGAATGCCTAATAGACTTAAACAGGCTTAGGCCTAGGGTTTTGTTTTTTAAATATAAGTCATATCATACTTATAATTTGGACTTACACATGTTAACAGATTATGCCAAACCTAAAATATTTTATACAGACTTGACTTATTTAAGCTAAAATCTAGCCCAATCCAACCTATTGACACCTTTAATGATTCGGGTGCGGCCTAGTTAAGTAACACTAAAAACCAGCCTCTATGTTTTTTTTAGTTTCAATCCATTTTTATTTTTTTGATAAATAATTTCAATCCATTTCCTAAAATACTTCTAATAATAGAATAGTCATGTCATGAGTTTGAGTTTAGAAAATAATTTTTTCATAAAAATATAAAGATAAAATTGTGTATAATCAATCTTCTCTATTTTGCAAGTTGAGAAACTTTATGTTCCGGGATTTTGTTCTTTTTTATTGATATTCATTTTTTAATTTTACTTTTAAAATATTAATTTTCATGTTTTTTATTTATTTAAATTTTAATTTTTATAATGCTATTCCTTAAAATATTAATTTTTATTTTTTCATAAAAGATTTAATTCTTATAATTATTAATTAAGAGATTACTTTTCAAGAAATAAAATTAAAAAAATATAAGGATCAAATCTTAAATGAGTAAGACTATAAGAATTAAAATTTTATTTAATCGAAATAAAAAAATTTGAATGTTGAGAGCAATGATTAATTCATAAACTCTACACCTAGATTATCAAGTACAATAGATTTTACCCAACAATAGCTGAAATGAACTAGAAATATATGGCGCACTGTAATCTATTATGGGAAAAACTATTCTTATGTCACATGACATAAGTTCTCTCTCGTACACACCCTTCGATAACTATGTCACTTTTTTCTTTTCTTTTCTTTTATTTTTTCAGGTGGCGGAGCCCACTAGTTTGTCTCTATGACATGAGATAACTATCTCCTTTAATATGAGATTAATAAAACCCATCTATTATCTATTATATATATAAAGGAAAACCAAAGCAAACCCCCTTTGTGTTCATACTTGAAACCCTCCAAAACGCTGACGTGTCAAATTTTGATTCATCTTAAACTGTGTGTTCACATTGTGTGTTTACACTGTGTGTTCACACACACTTGCTTTAATATTAAAAAAAAATAAAAGAAAAATTTGTCATAATGACATTTTATAAAAAATGAAAATCGAAATGGATGATTAATGACCCACCATCATTGATTGTTGTATTGAGAAATGAAAGGTTTCTAAAAATTGCATTGGAAGATGAAAAGTCTATTAATGATATTTGAAATTATACTACCTAAAAAAAAACTTTTCAGTTCCTCCTCTCTCTCAATTACTCTTTTAAATACCAAATTCCAAAATGGCATCTTTATTTTTCCCAGCGCCTTTCTCAGCTCTGACTCTTCACCCAAACCCCATTCTTTCCTTTCCCTACATCCACTCTCATTCTATTTCTCATTTTCTTGAACATTAGTCACAGAGCCGGTTACCTCTTTCTAGCCAAAGAGGAAGCAAGATGGGGTCTTTAGCAAAGAAGGGATCGGACTGAAAAATTACTTGAAACAGCTTCAACAACACCCTTTGAGAACCAAGGTCCCTCTTCTTCATTATTTACTGCATCTATCTCATTTTTAATTTCCCTTTGCATGGCTTGCTTTCCTTGCTTCTTTTTTTCATCCATTTTCATTGACCCGCTGTTTTGTTAGTCCTAAAAGAGCTACCTTTAATGGTTCACGTTATAGATTGGTTGTAGGTGGTTAGCGACTAGCATCTTGGAAGAATTTATAAGAAACAGTCTAAAGGGTCTAACCTTGCTCGAAAGTTAGAATCTATGGGTCACAAGCCTAAGTGTGCTTTGTGGGAGTGGTATGTAGATCAAGTACAAACTTTCTTAGCATATAATCAATCTCCTCAAAATGTGGAAATAGGATTTTTATAGTTCTTTCTCATTTTATGTTTATGTTTATGTTTCAGGTGTATCAGTGAAAAAAGCAAAAAATGCATAATGGTGGAAAAGGAAAATATCAAGGCTTTATAACGGTGAAAACAATCAATCTACCATGAAACCAATATCATCAGTGAAATTAGGGTTGAGAAGAAGAAGAACAGTTTGTGCGTATATTAGGTGGAAGATGAAGATATGAGTTACCCTCTTTTGGTTTTTCGATTTTGTAGCTTCCCATTTTTTTTATTTGTATATGCACCATGCAATTGTGGCTTCATAATAACCAAAAGGATATATTATAATAGATTCTTTCATTTTCTTATCTATTTTTTAGTTTTTAGTTTTTTTCTCCACCGAACATAATTACTAATATCCTTGGTATATCCAAAAAAATTAATGATTTTTTTTTATTTTTTGTATGACTTTTATGATGTATCCTTTGTTCAGCTTTGTGTTCACACCTAAAGGAATTTGAAATGTTTCCTGTTATAGTAATTTTTTTTTAAAAAAATTACCTTAAAATTTAAAAATTAAATTAAAACTCGACTAAAAAATTAAATTTTAGCAAACACAATTAATTTCCCACTATCTCCTTATTGGTAGTTACAGAAATTAAAAGCTGCGAAAATTTATTGAACCTCATTGGAGAATGGAAAAGTTCTTTTGTATTGAAACTTAGTGGAAGCTGAAGAGTTTTTGAATTTTGAATTTTATAAGTGGGAAAAAAGTTCAGAATCTTTTAGTGGCAAACAATCATAATAATATCTACTATTTTTTGCATTGGTAATTGTTAAACTCATTAATAATAGTAATAATAATATTCCACTTAAACAAGTAGGTTTTAAAAATAAAATTTCTTTTATTAAACTGATTTACTTAAACAAATAGGTTTTAAAAATAAAATTTCTTTTATTAAAATAATTTCTTTTAAATAAAATAAAAATAAAAAAACTAAAGAAAAAGTCAGCCTTCAACATATGCAATTAAAGTCATTGTGTTCTACCAAATGAAAAAACAAGTCATTGTTACGTCGATTTTTAAAGTTAAAGAAAATTAAGATAATAATAAATAATTCATTTGTAAAAATAATAAGATAATATATCTATCTATTATATATTGTTGAGATATATAGTCTCACATTGATTGTGTGGGCAACTAATGTGGCCTTTATAAGGCCTTGGGCACTCCCACCCTTTGAGTTAGCTTTTGGGGTGGTGTATCCCAAAGTTCTTTACATGGTATCAGAGCTTGAGTGACTACAAGGTCACAAGTTCGATCCTCACTGCCTCCCGCTTTAAAGTGGAATTAAAAAAAAAACACAAAAGTTAAACAAAAAATTGGGCATGTGCAATTTTCACGCTTCAAGCCCAAAGGGCTCTTGCGTGAGGGAGCGTGTTTAGATATATAGTCCCACATTGATTGTGTGGGCAACTAATGTGGTCTTTATAAGGCCTTGGGCACTCCCACCCTTTGAGCTAGCTTTTGGGGTGGTGAATCCCAAGGTTCTTTGCATATATATAAAGTAAACCATTTGTTGAAAAGTCTGATGATGTGTCTCACTCTCCTTAAGTCTCACATTTGTGTTCACACTACAAGTCATTTGAAAACTTTCCTTCTTTAGTAAAAGTTTAAATTAAATAAATATTAAATAAAATCAAAATTTGTAAATAAATAAAATGAAAAATTATGTGAACAATTTTTTGTGGCAGACAACTCATTTAATATCCCACTGCTTTCTACATTGAAATTTTCAAATTAATAATAACTCATTGCTTAATGAAATATTTATTTTAAATTTCGAATTTCGTTTAAATTTGAATTTTGAATTTTAAACTTTGTAGTGGTGGAAAAACATTTGGACAATTATTGGTGGCAGACAACTCATTTATTATACCATTACTTTCTACATTGATAATTGTTCTGCGAAAATTTATTGAACCTCATTGAAGAATGAAAAAGTTCTTTTGTATTGAAGCTTAGTGGAAGCTGAAGAATTTTTGAATTTTAAATTTTGAATTTTATAGGTGGGAAAAAAGTTCAGAATCTTTTAGTGGCAAACAATCATAATAATATCTATTACTTTTTGCATTGGTAATTGTTAAGCTCATTAATAATAGTAATAATAATATTCCACTTAAACAAGTAGGTTTTAAAAATAAAATTTCTTTTATTAAAATGATTTCGTTTAAATAAAATAAAAATAAAAAAAAAACTAAAGAAAAAGTAAGCCTTCAACATATGCAATTAAAGTCATTGTTGTCTACCAAATGAAAAAACAAGTCATTGTTACGTCGATTTTTAAAGTTAAAGAAAATTAAAATAATAATAAATAATCTATTTGTAAAAACAATAAGATAATCTATCTATCTATATATATAAAAGGGAAACCCATTTGTTGGAATGTCTGATGATGTGTCACTCTCTCCTTAAGTCTCACATTTGTGTCCACACTACAAGTCATTTGAAAACTTTCCTTCTTTAGTAAAAGTTTAAATTAAATAAATACAAAATAAAAATCGAAATTTGTAAATAAATAAAATGGAAAATT